TTGTAGATTGATTTTGTGTCACTTGTGCCAGGAAATAATTGCTCCTCTACACACACCATTGCCTAAAGAAATCACATGCACACAGCTATGAGTTCTGAATAGGCTAGACATTTTCTATTGTGGAAGGGGAGATGACCTTGAAATATTGTGGACTGGTAGTAATATCTGCTACTCCATGGGGAGGATGGGTTTGAGAGGGGCAGAAATGAAAGCTGAAAGTATCTAAGTGATTTAGATAAAATATTATGAATTAACGAGGAAGAACTGTATATATATACATATATGTAGTCAAGAGGGATGATATCAGGTGTGTTAGTCAGGTCTCCATCACGGTAACAAAATACCTGAGATAATGAATTTATAATGCATAAAGGTTTATTTTGCTCACTGTTCTGAAGGTTGCAGTCCATTAATGAGTGGCCTCATCTGTTTGGAGCTATAGAACAAGTAGCATATCATGGAGGCAGTACATGGTGCCACTTACCTCAGAGAGGAATGACCACAGTTCCAGGATCATTTTCCAGGGAGCAACCCCAATGTTCTATGGACCTCCCATAAAATCCCATCTACTGAACGTTCCATCACCTCCTATAAGTGTCACCCTGGGAACAAGCCTTCAACACGTGGACCATTGGGGGACATTCAATAACTGCAACACTCAGTGATTAATTTATTGAAGTATAATTTGAGGCCAGAACAAAGAGAGAATCTGTGTCTACCCTTAGGTTTCTGACATGGGTGATTGGGTATGTAACAGTGACATTAATTAGAATACTTGAGAAAAATAAATTTCACTGGTGGGATGGGAATGACATCTTACTTTTGAATCTGATTTTAAGATGCCTGTGCCCCAAGGTATGTTAGGGTTTGAACATGAAATGTGCACAGGCTCCTGTGTTGAACACTTCATCCCCAGCTGGTGGTGCCATTTTGAGAGGTTCAGGAGGTTGTGGGTCGCTAGAATCATGACTTTTACTATCATTCCTGACCTCCAGACCCTTCCTCAGGCTCTGCTTCCTGTCTACGACGAGGTAAAGAGGCCATGTCTGCCTTGCTACGGGCCCAGAATCAACAGAAGCAGCTATGATGGACAAAAAGCACTGAAGCTGTTCCTCCTTTAAGTTGTTCTCTCAGGCATTTGGTCAGAGTGACAGTAACACTGACTAATGCACAGTATATGCATAAGATTAGTCTAAGTAGAAACCTGGGGAAAGATGTCCCAGGTAGAAAATGGGATGAAAAAAGAGACTAGGCAAGGGTCAGGTCCTGGGGTTTCCGGAGCAGGCAAAGAACAGGAAGTACAGACAGGACACGAGGGAGTGATGGGAAATGGATGAGAGAAGAGTGGAAGGAGCTGGGGTGAAAGGGTTCCAGAGCAAGTGACCATCTCTGCCATACACATGAAGGCTTCATGCCCCCCCCCCCCCCCCCCCCCCCCCCCCCCCCCCCCCCCCCCCCCCCCCCCCCCCCCCCCCCCCCCCCCCCCCCCCCCCCCCCACCCCCCCCCCCCCCTCCCCCCCCCCCCCCCCCCCCCCCCCCCCCCCCCCCCCCCCCCCCCCCCCCCCCCCCCCCCCCCCCCCCCCCCCCCCCCCCCCCCCCCCCCCCCCCCCCCCCCCCCCCCCCCCCCCCCCCCCCCCCCCCCCCCCCCCCCCCCCCCCCCCCCCCCCCCCCCCCCCCCCCCCCCCCCCCCCCCCCCCCCCCCCCCCCCCCCCCCCCCCCCCCCCCCCCCCCCCCCCCCCCCCCCCCCCCCCCCCCCCCCCCCCCCCCCCCCCCCCCCCCCCCCCCCCCCCCCCCCCCCCCCCCCCCCCCCCCCCCCCCCCCCCCCCCCCCCCCCCCCCCCCCCCCCCCCCCCCCCCCCCCCCCCCCCCCCCCCCCCCCCCCCCCCCCCCCCCCCCCCCCCCCCCCCCCCCCCCCCCCCCCCCCCCCCCCCCCCCCCCCCCCCCCCCCCCCCCCCCCCCCCCCCCCCCCCCCCCCCCCCCCCCCCCCCCCCCCCCCCCCCCCCCCCCCCCCCCCCCCCCCCCCCCCCCCCCCCCCCCCCCCCCCCCCCCCCCCCCCCCCCCCCCCCCCCCCCCCCCCCCCCCCCCCCCCCCCCCCCCCCCCCCCCCCCCCCCCCCCCCCCCCCCCCCCCCCCCCCCCCCCCCCCCCCCCCCCCCCCCCCCCCCCCCCCCCCCCCCCCCCCCCCCCCCCCCCCCCCCCCCCCCCCCCCCCCCCCCCCCCCCCCCCCCCCCCCCCCCCCCCCCCCCCCCCCCCCCCCCCCCCCCCCCCCCCCCCCCCCCCCCCCCCCCCCCCCCCCCCCCCCCCCCCCCCCCCCCCCCCCCCCCCCCCCCCCCCCCCCCCCCCCCCCCCCCCCCCCCCCCCCCCCCCCCCCCCCCCCCCCCCCCCCCCCCCCCCCCCCCCACCCCCCCCCCCCCCCCCCCCCCCCCCCCCCCCCCCCCCCCCCCCCCCCCCCCCCCCCCCCCCCCCCCCCCCCCCCCCCCCCCCCCCCCCCCCGCCCCCCCCCCCCCCCCCCCCCCCCCCCCCCCCCCCCCCATAAGCACAAGAGGCTCCCTGCTGTTTGTCCAGTAGTCCAGGGAGGTTCCGTCCCTTGTCCCTTGCTGTTCATTCTGGACTGTTGCTGCCCACCCGGCAGTTTCCTGCAGGGGCTATGCTGAGAGGATGACTTATAGAGAGTTTCCTTACCACTCAATACCATTGCAAACTTTCTATCCTCTTGCCCTGCTTCATCTTTTTTTTTTGCATAGTATTACAATACTGATGTATACTGGCATTTCTACTGCTTGAACTACCCCACCTGTCCTTTTAGCTTTGTTTATTTTTCAAATAGGTCTCATGGTCAGTATGGCCATGATACTCCTTATTTATATCCATTTGGTTGGGATGGTAGGCACCACATGTTTAGCCTATAGACTGAAATGAAGTCTTGCTATAACTTTTTGCCTGGGCTGGCTTGATGAGTAGCTGTGATTATAGGCATGAGCCACAGTACCATACTTTGCTTCTGCCTCTTTCCCCTTAAAGCATCAACTCCATAAAGCAGGGGCTTTGTTTTATTAACTGTCTCATCTTTAGCACTAAAACTGTCTGCACAGAAAAAGGACTCAATAAAACTTGTTGAAATGAAATATGTAGAAGCATTTCCTGACCTGGAAAAGAGTGTTTATATTATTACTGTTACTGGTGGAAACCACATTTCCTTTGAGTTTTTTTTTTTTTAAATAGTAGTAGACTTATTTAGAGGAGAAGGATATTTTAAAGTCTGTTTTAAATATACTATTCCAATTGTTCTTTGAAATCAGTTGTGGAAATTGTTTTCCAGGACTTTAAATGTTTATACAGAGTAAAGCAACCAATTCAATTGTGTTTATTGTATTTTCAGTTTAATAAAAGAAAGCAAAAGCGAAGATAGTGATTAATACTCAAGCAAAGAATTTCTTGGCACACTAGGAGGAGGAGCACCAGTTCAGAAGCTATCCTTCCTGAGCACCACTGCTGGGAACCCATAGCTCCGCCACCTGAGCCAGAGTTCCAAGTCAGGATAGCCTGGCTATAGGATACAATGAGTAAAGAAATGAAAGGTCAAAGAAATGAAACATTTTAGAAATTCTGAGATATATTGAGAGCTGAGTTGGAGACATTATGAAGAAGAAAAGCAAGATAGCAGGTTGAGACTTAGGGGGTTCAGTGGCAGTAGGTCCCAGATCTACTAAGCTAGATAGATTTTGAACTGGAGTTTTAGCTGGGAGCAGAGGATGAATCCCAAGCAGTAGCTCATTCATAGCATTGGCTTCTCTGCCTCTCCAGTTTCTCACTGAGGCTTTGCTTGATGAAAGCAGCTCTGTCCTGTGAGAACAAGAATCCAATGCTTCCCTGTAAGAGCTAGGATGCAAACTGTACTGCTATCCCGCCATGTTTGTTTCAGGTGTTTTTTTTTTTTTTTGGAGACAAGATTTCACTATGTAGCCTTGGAATTTATAAGGTAAAATCTGAGTCCAGAGCAGGGGTCACTGACATTGTGCTTGGCTGAAGTACACAGCACCTATGCCTTGGACCAGTGTAGCAGTAACCACAATGGGGAAGTATCTCAGGGTGGGTGGCACAACCATCCTCTGTACTAAGCAAAGCAAGATAAAACATTGGTGAACATGCACTGTAGTTGAATTTCAAGTGTTTGTAACTCGTCTGAGTATCTGACATTTGGAGACTCTTAAGAGGTCTGACTATAAACAGTATCAACAAACAAATCAACAGGAATGACCATTATTAACCATCCTGAACAAATATGCTAAGACTGTTAAACCATGTTTTAGGCATCTCTTATTTATCTCCAATTTTGGTCAGTCTGAGTTAGAAACCCCTGAAAACACATGAAGATGAATCAACTGTGGCCAGCAAGCGCCACAGAGATGGAAGAGAAATGGGCTAGTGTCAGGAAGAGAGCGGGCAGGTTCTTGGCATGAGTGAGGGCTTCCTCATGACTGTGTTCCACTCAGCAAAGCCATACTCTACTCGGGGCTGAGCAGTGGAGGTCAGGACATTGGCTGTCCCTGACAGGGGTGCCAGCTTTACTGTTTACCAACCAGGGTTTGTCATACAGCGGGAGAATGAAATGGAGTCTGTGAAACGGAAATCCAAAGGGACGGATGGGAACAATTGAAATGGAACGAAAGGGAACAAATTGGGAACAGAAAAATAAATAAAAGACACTAAATTTTACAAAAAAAATAAAATGTACATCAGTCTAAAGGGATGAGAGGACAGGCAGAAAGGCAACAGTACTCTTCATATATGACCGATCTTAACAGTAAGCTTATCTGTTAGCTCCAGCTATGCAGACAGTACCTGGATTTTTAGACCTAGTAACTTTTGGATGGACTCAAACTCAAAACTGAGAATAAGAGGAAAGAATATTCTGATGTAACTAGCTGAATGTGTATTTTAGTAAATGTCCTTGCTGATCATCTTAAAGGCTCTGAATTGTGTATGCTGGGGCCTAGGCATTCTTGGTTTAGGTGGTGTTGGTCTGTTGTTTCTGTGTTCCTCCTTTGCCTGGAGTCTTTCAGAGGCTACCCTGAACAATGAACATCTGCCAAGATGGGAATAGGGAGAGGTCATGAAGGAGGTTAGCACCTACCTTGGTCCCACTGGCTGGGGTAGCTGGAGAAGATGGCATGGATGTACAGCTGTGGTTACTCTGACTAGCACTTGAACTGGAGCGGGTGGGAGAAGCTGCCCTCGAAGATGGTTTGGATCTTCGACCCGTGATCGGAAAGGGGTCATTCTTGGGATGCCTCTGGTAGGATGAACTTCTCTCTCAGCTCAATGTTAGTTCTACCTCGTGCTACAAAAGAATAAACAAACACATATACAATACAAATTTATCTTAAAAATATATCTTTGATGGTCATACAGCTGCTTGACCCCATGATAACAGTAACCTAAGTTATAGGTTTAGTACCATCTGTGGTTTATTTAAAAGCACAGATAAATTCATGACTTAACAGCTTCTGTCATGATTCTGACCCACATCAGATACACTGACTAAAAAGATCCTAGCTTGCTGTAATAAGTAAGTCTTTGTGTACAGAATGGCATCTCCTCTGCTGTCATGATCTGGCTTTGCCACTGTCCTCTGGGGTAAGCACACTGTAATTGTTGAAGGTGAAGCAGATGTAAGTCCACAAGCCTCTGACATTAACCAAAACTCTTTTCTCTCCCATAGGAGTGTACTTTATGATCAACTTTTGCAAGTTATGTGATAATGAAATAGTGGAGAAAAAACACACTAGTGAAATAGACCTGTCTACTGAATTCAGTCAATAACAATCCTAAAGAAAGGGGTAGAGGAACTCCAAACAGTAAAAAGATTAGGACAAAATTAATGAGAAGTAAATGTAGGGAGAGAGAGAAAAAGATTAAGACCATGCACAAAACTTGCCAGTGAGAAACAGTTAAGTCAAACTGAAAGCAGTAAGAAGCTGAAAGGGAAACTGCAAGTAGGAAAGGAACATTGAGATGGAATAATCTGGAACCAGTACTGAATGCCAGATAAGTGCTTTTCTCATGGCTTTCTGGAACTGAAAGATCAGAACTCACAATGTGGATTCAGTCAGAAAGTATCAAATACACCCAACACATTGTTAAATGTGAAAGATACATTAATTTAAAGAAATAATTCTGCTGAAACATGCCCTTTGATTATTTTCAAAGATATTATCCTGCAATAACCCTCTACTGCTCATCTACTCTACTCTTCACTTTTACAATGTACTAGACAGATATAAACAAATAAGACTGTTGGGGAAGCCTGGAAAAGGGAAATTCTATGAAGAAAATATTTGTCATTCTTTTTCTCAACGTATTATAGGTTGACAAGCATACCAAACCATCAAGTTAAAAGCACTTAGATACCAAAACCTTTGAGTTGTTGGCCAGGCCCTGCCATCAGGCAATCCTTTGTTTTGGGCTGTTTTTTTTCAGCCTCACCAAAGGTGATCAGGGCTGCTGGTCTTTAAGGATCCAACTCATCTGGATAGTCTATGACTTAATGTTTCCAGACATGCTCTAGATGTTTCTTTCCATGAAATAGTGTTTCCTCCTCCTTAGGTCCCAACATGTCCTCTACCTCTCAAGGTTCTTTCCTTGGCTGTTAGTTCTCTGCTTCCATTTTCCAGTCCTTTTCTGTGTTCACACTCATTAGTAGACATTCTTCTTCTTTTTTTTTTGTGGTACTGGGGCTTGAACTCAGAGCCTTCACTTGAACCACTCCACCATGCCAATTTTTATGAAGGATTTTTCAAGATATGATAGGGTTTTCTGAGACAGGGTCTTGCGGACTATCTCTCCGAGTTGGCTTTGAACTGACATCTCCTGATCTCTGCCTCCTGAGTAGCTAGGATTACAGGCGTGAGACAGTGGCATCCGGCAATAGATATTCTTTCTCAAGGAGAATTTCCTTTGCACTCATGTACAACTAGCTGTAATCCTAGCTACTTGAGTAAGACTGTATATCAAATAATTGTGGAATTATGACCTACACTTCTGTCTGCTGAAGTGCCCACTCAACAATGGACACGCAACTGGCAGTAAGGTAACATTGATGGATGAAATCATCTATACATCTGAGGATCTGGACATCCTATAAAAACCATTTGTGGTCCTAAATCATAACAAACTTTTGGAAGTAAACATTTGATAATTCACTTCTGAGCAAACGCTGCTAGAAAAAAAATCACAGGGGAATACAAGAGAAGATTTTGAAATAGCAATTCAGTTGTGAACAGATATGTTTTAAATGCTTTTAGAAACGACTATTGGCTGGGTGTGGTGGTATGCATCTATAGTCCCAGCTACTCTGGAGGCCTGTGCAGAAGGATCTTTGAGCCCAGTAGTATGAGATTACTCTGGGCAACACAGCAAGATTCCATCTCAAAAAAAAAAAAAAAAAAAAAAAATCCCCAAACAAGTCTGGGTGCCAGTGGCTCATGCTTACAATCCTAGCTACTTGAAAGGCTCAAGGTTTGAGATCGGCCTCGGCAAACAGTTTGTGAGATCATATCCAAAATAACCAGATCAAAATGGAATTGGAGGTATGGCTCAAGTGGTAGAGTGCCTGCTTTGTTAGTGTGAAGCCCTGAGTTCAAACTCCAGTCCCACCAAAAATAAACAATCAAAAAAAAAAAAAGCCCAATGAGTGTTGCACATCTGTAATCCTAGCTACTTGGGAGGTGGGGGTAAGAGGATCATAAGTTTGAGACCAGCCAGGGCAAAGTTAGTGAGATTCTATCTCAAAGACAAAAAACAGCCAGGCACCAGTGGGGCTCAAGTGGTAAGAGAGCCTGCTTTGCAAAGCGCGAAACCCACCAAACACCTCCCCACCCCTGCATTTATAAACAAAAGGGCTGGCACTGGCTCAAATAGTAACAGTGCTTGCTCACCATGTGTGAAGCCTGGGTTCAATCCCAATACCACAAAAAAACAACAAACAAAACTAAAATAAAAACAAACAAGAATACACCATAAAAATAAAGAGTACTATCTGTAATAATGTTTCCTTACATTGTACTTTTACAAAGTGTAATATGGCACTTGACTGTCATTACATCTTTATGTGCACTATACCTGGAAATTGCTGGTAAAGTTCACTGAGAACATCTACCTTCCGTGTGCGTGCGTGTGTGTATGTGTGATGTATTTTTTTAATTTAGAGGTTGAAATATATAGAAAAGTACAAAGGGAACAAAATCGCTTAACACTTTTTTTCACCAACTCAGAGGACATCACTATTGAAATGTTGGTATGTCTTTATACTTTTGCGACACATGTATAGTATTTTTTAATACAAAAACATCAAGAATATTCTCCTCCTGTATGTGTCTCACATTACATTTCAACTAACTGTAAAGTATAATTTCATCATATGGATACCACTTTAATCAGCCCAATGTTGCATTTTCAATTTGCTTATAATTTTTAGACATTATATCCAATGCTGTGACAACTTGTAAAACATTTTTGCATGTACCTGATGTTTTCTTAGGATAAATTTCTACAAGAAGATTTGCTCTTATACAGCAAAGGATGTACAGAAAGGATGCACACTAAAGATAAAAACATACTGAGTAGTGTACGTATTTATAATACCTTAATATAGGATATTATATTTCTAAAGTTAAAAAGAATATTCCTAGTAGATGTTTGACTGTTTTTTGTTTTGCATTGCAGGGATTCAACTAGGGCCTTTCTTGCATGTGCTAGGAAAATGTTACTGAGCTACAAGTCTCCAGCTCAGAAGTTTTATTGGGGGAAAGATCTATTCCTGAACTTCTAGGAGCAGACACTGAAGGCAGTTACCTTAAATTTGACTATTTTGCCACCAAAAAGGCCCATCATTTTCTTTCTTTTTTTGTTTTTTTGAAGTACTGGGGTTAAACTTAGGGCTTCATACTTGCTAAGCAGGTGCTCTATCATTGAGCTGTGTCCCAGCCTGGGGCATCATTTTCTAAGGGCCACCTGAATTGGCTGGACTAGGCCTGTTAGTAAAGATTAGTTTCAAAACCTATTGTTTAATAGGTACAGAGTTTCAATTTTACATGATATAGTTTTGTGTACGTGTGGTACGTGAATGTAGTTAACTATAACTTAAACACAGTTAAGATGGAAATTTTATGTTATGTGTATTTTACCAAATTTAAACATAGAACCCTAGGTACAGAAATAGCCATTTTTCAGGCAGGAGCACTATCCACATAAAACTGTCATTTCCGTTGCCACAGATGAATTCAGAAACTACAATCCCTGATTGTGGCAGTAGCAGAAAATTGTGTAACTAGAAAACCTAGCTAGAGGAATATTTTTATTTTTTACATTTAGTTAAAGCAACACATGGTTTGAGACTTCCATCTTTCTTAACAGCTATGGAAAAGAAGATAATGAATTGGTATTAAGTTTGAGGTGGGTTTTTTTTTTCTTTCAGGGGGTAGGGGGACAATCTTGGGACAGAACCCAGGGTCTCATGCTTGCTAGGCAGGCAATCTACCATTAAGTCACACCCTTAGTTATGAATTGGTATTCAGAACCTTGTCACAAATTTTGTATCATCCTTAATATAACGTTCTCTACAGTCCAAAGGCCCAAGGTAATGCAACACAATGAATATAAAATTTCCCAAAGCAGTGCTTCTAGAAGCCAATTAGTCCTACAGGAACCTGGTATTTTTATTTCTCTCTCTTTTGAAACAGAGTTCACAATGAAGCCTAGGCTGGCCTTGAACTTCTGATCCTCTGCCTCTGCCTCCAGAGTAGCTGAGATTATAGACGTGCAACATTACTCCGGGAAAGTTAATATCTTTTTGATGTTCATACCTTTCTATTTCACTTACTGCCATCCTCCCAGCCCTTAGGTGTTCACTTCCTAGCATTATCATTTATTTGTTTAGAAACAACTCATCTCACCCTTTGCTCGCAGAATTATGACATTGAAACTGTTGGAGAGTTCTCTACTCCACAGTCAATGGATCAAGGTGATTGCTGGGTTCTATGAGGGCACTCATGGAAAGAGACAGAGGAAAGTCTTACCTTGTTTGCTCTGAAGGAAGCTGAAAAAGGCTACTATTGTCCCATAGAAAATAGCTGCTAGGTGGCCTCCCAAATTTCCTTGGGGTTCCAATTTTTTAGATAGTAAATAAGGCAAGCAATATTCTCCTTGTCCAGCAACATAAATGTAATTATAAATAGAGCAGGCAGTGAATAAACAGGCAACTGAGGGTTCCAAAATGCCACATGCAGAATGTCTTTCGTTAGTCAATCATACACGACAGGAAAAATAAGATTTTATTAATAGTTTTAGGAGCAATAATGCTGTTTTACTGAGTCAAGGTTAAAGTGATATACATATTGCTCCCCATTTAAAATGATGAAAGAAGACTTTTAATCAAGGACACTGGTTTTATGATATGATTAATTCTAAAACTCATTAAACCCTTTCATTGTCAGAAAAGGCATTTTTCAAATTTATCTTCTTAAAAAAACTTTTTATGGAAATTTTTACTGCTTAGCTTTTACTCTTGCTTACTGGAGTAAATGGAGAAGTGTTTAAATAAGAGGAACAATTTATGGAATGTATGGAATTCATGTGAGACAATTTATGGGAATGTATGAATTCATGTGAGAACTGAACCCTTCAGGTCTGTCCTCTCTAAATGTTTCAGAATATGACTATAAACTACTTCCAAAGAAGATTACACAGCTGTACTGCAAACATTTCTGCTACGTTTATAAATAAGCCTTAATAATTTAATTACTCAGACTGGACCAATGATACACACACAAGGGCTATGTGAGCCTTGGAGAAGCATAGCACAGTGGTCAGGAGCTGGTCTAGAGCAAGGGTGACTTGGACTTGAATTTTGCTTCTGTCATTTACTGGCTGGCTGTCCTTGAGCAAGTTACTTAAAATTTCTATGCCTCAATTTTCTATTCTATGAAACAAATACTCACCTCATAGGGTGGTCATGAGGCAAAAATGTATGCTTTTAACAGCGTGTGACAAAAAATCAGAACAAATTCTAGGGATACCATCTCAGTAACAGTATTTCATGCCCTGTCAAAAGAGTAGTTGGAAAAAGCAACAGTTTGGCTATTTCAAGCATTCACCAAGGCAGCAGGTATCACAGAGCCAAGAAATATTACAGTTCAGGAAGCAAAGCCATTCTCAAAAGGTTAGGGTATAGGGGAAGAGGGACAAAGCATAAAAGCCAACCTATGGGAGACTGACTGGAAATCGAAGAGCTGGAATCAGAGCGCTTTATTTTACTCCCAGGATGGTGAACTAGAATAAAAAATATGTAAACAGAAAGAAACAGAGACAGAGCAGAAAACGCAGAAACCAGTCAAGAAAGACAAACTGGTAGACAGAGGGGAGCCCCCTGTACACCCACATGCAGCTCTGCTAACAGGAAAAGGAGAGGATGTCTAAGCAGAATGTGCTTGTTTGTCCCCTAGTCCCTAGCTGCTTAGACTAAGTTGATGGGTTTTTTTTTGCCTTTGGGCTGATGGGTGCCTTTTCATATTTATATAGCAGGAAGACATTCCAAAGTCTTGCTTAGGTGACTGTTTTAGAAAGGTTTAGGCTGCTGGTAGGTATCTCTTTAACTTCTCTTCTCTTCTAGTTAAGGATGCTTACCAGTCCTTCCCTGTATGGGAAGAGCCCAACACCTTCAAGTTTTAGTCATAAGAATTACAGGAAAAGGCACCTGAGACTCTTACGATAGAAGAAACTAAACACCAGGTTCCTTGCTAGGTTGGTATTAATGTAAAGCTCCAAAGTGAAACATTCAGATGATATCAACTCATTTAACTCTCACTCCTGTGTTCTACAACAGTATCAACTTCTTTAGCTTTTTCCCTGGAACCCAGAGTTCTAACCTTTGCTATGTGGGAAAACACCTGGGCACTTCAATAATGAAACAAAAAAATAGATCCACTATCAACACTTCTTGTAAGCATGAAAGATCAGCAGCATGGGCCCAGCTAACTTTCTAACATGTAATTCATGGTCAGGATGCTTCCTTACCTCTGCAGGGATCATTTTTCACTAAAAATTCATCCAAGGCCATCCATCCTCCACCAACACGGACCATCACTGTGCTGCGCAGAATACGGACCAGCCGCAACTGCTGAGAATCCCCAAACTGTAGAATCAAGGGAAACATAGTTAATGAGTATGCCTTAAAGTACACCTGTACTATCCCCCTCCCCCCTACAAGCAGACTGTATTCAGACAAGAATGACAGTGTGATAGTTTTGGGAGATTTTCAAACTCTATTTTGCATTTTTACATTTTTCACAAAAGGGTTAGTAAATATAAAAGCAGAAACACCAAACTACAGACCAGTATCTTGTGGGCTAGGGATGTAGCTCAGTGGTAGAGCACTCACCTAGTATGCACAAGGGCCTGAATTAGATCCCTGGCACAGCAAGAAAAAAAAAAAAAACTGTCTGGTATGGACCAGGGTCTTATGCTAATTTGTTTTCCTAAAGTAAGTGTGTGTGTGGGTGTGTGTGTGTGTGTGTGTGTGTGTGTGTGTCAACTGAATACAGTGTGCTCTAAAGTGAAGTGGAGAATAGCAAACACCATATCAAGCATGAAGGAAACCCTTGCAAAGCATCATTATAAAGTTAGGAGAAATTTGATTTGCTGTATCTAGTTTTCAGAAGTAAACCTTAAGCATTTTCTACTTGTGATTTCACCAGCAAAACAAATGACAAGGTAATGTATTAAAATTTAGTTGAAGAAATAAAAATTTTAATTTTCCATCGTGATTATAACGAGCATTCAGTAATATTCTGGACCTTCGAATAAACATGATTTTGTTTTGTTTTGTTTTTGAGACAGGGTCTCACTATGTAGCTCAGGTTGGCCTTGAACTCTCAATCCTCCTGCCTCCACTTCCTGAGTGCTGGGGTTACAGGCATGCACCATCATGTCTCACTTATAAACATGTTCTTTCTGATATTTGTTTTCTCCTTTTGTTTTTGCCTGACATTCTGACTTCCCATCTCTAGATTAATATTTGGTGCTTCCTACTACATAAATTGCCTCTTCCCCAAAGGAAGAGGGAACAAAAGAGAAGTATGATAAGATTTCAAAACGAACATCAAACATATGATTAAAGAAATGGAATTTTTAAGATTATTTAATTTAAGGAGAATGTTTCTGGGGGAGGGAATATTTAACCACCTAGTCAGGATTTTCAAAGTTATAAAGAATCATAATTTTGAAACAAGGCAGAAAAATTAAAAATGTGAGAAAGGATGTCTGAGGACACTAAGTATCATCCTTCAATATTAATAAATTGGCAGTTAATTCTCCATATTCTTTAGCTGCTCTGACTCAAATGCACTATTTATCAGCACTAGGGTTTAAATTCAGGGACTAAGCTTGCTAGGCAGGCACTCTGCCACTTGAGACATGCCCCTAGCCCTTCAAATGCACTATTTGTATAGGCAAAGAGTCTCAAACATATTGTTCCTTCTCTTCCTAGCCATTTACTTTGAAAATAAGCAGCCCTGTATAATTTCATCTCAAGTGTTTTTTTGTTTTGTTTTTTTTCTTTTGGCAGTGCTGAGGATCAAACCCAGGGCCATGCAGCATGGTAGGCCAAGTGCTCTACCACAGAGCATATAGTTTTCCCTCTTATATGTAGTTTTTAAAAGTTTTATACAGTGACCACAGTGACAAGATGGTAAAGTAGAAACAGCACTATCCATAGCTGTGAGGAAATAGATACACTCTCTGGGGAAGGAAGCTGCTTCCTGCCTTGGAGGGAGCATGTTCTGGGGGGGGGCGGGGGGGGGGAGTTTTCACTGGATAGGTGAGGAGAGGGAAGAATATGAATCTGTGTCCTCCTGAGTGAACAGGAAGGAACCCCAGAGTACTTTATTCTTAGAATATCGTGTCTTATGGTTCATTACTCCATTTATTTCATGGTTGTTTCCCCTTAATTTCTTAGTGAAGCTTTATTTGAAAGATTCTAGCTTGTTTCTTCTGAGCTCTGGGAAAAGGATGTTTGATTCAAGGCACTTGAGGCCAAAGCAGCTGCTGTGGGGCAATCTGAGGCCAGTGATGAGAGGTAGGAGGGTTATGGCACCTCTAAAGATGGGAACTAACAGAACAAGGTGTGAGAGGCAGAGAACTCCGAACCAGCGTCTTTGAGGTCAACAACTGTTTCTCTTATAGAGACTTGGGTTCTTTGTTGGGTATGACATTAGCTGTGTGACAGTGGAATGTGATCTTTGAGACCTCAGGCGCCTTGTAGGTAAGATGAACTTCCTAATTCTGTTCTCTATTACAACATTTTACCACTTGAGCCACTCTGCCAGCCCTATTTTGTACTGGGTATTTTTGAGATAGTGTCTTGCAAACTATCTGCCTGGGCTGGCTTTGAACCTCGATCTTCCTGATCTCTGTCTCCTGAGTAGCTAGGATTACAGTTATACTTTATTTTGGGACAAGATCTTGCTAAGTTGCAAGTTGCCCAGGCTGGCCTCAAACTTTAGATTCTGCCTCAGCCTCCTAAGTAGCTGAGATTATAGACTTGAACCACCTCACCTGACCTGGCAATGGTTTATTTAAAGTCAACATGACTTTTCTCATCTTTAGATTTTTCTCTCCCTGGTTCTTTCCACTGACCCCAAACATTACTCTAATTGGTGATTATTGCAGTGACTGGAATTTAACATTGAGGGCCTTCAATGAATTCTTAGTGTTTCCAATTTTATATCATAGAGAGAGAGATTAACTCATGCAACTTCCTTTCACATTTGAAGACACAGCACCCCAGAGCCCTCAAAAAGATCTGAAAGGTTACAGTTACCAAGTGGAGTCAAGGTTTCCAATCTTTTATGCAAGTGTAATTAGGTCCTATTAGATTCTGGCTGGCTGGTCATAATCAGCAAACTTTAGGCCATGGCCAATTATGATTTCCACAATATGGTTTAAGGTACTTTGTAATTATAAAATGTAAGTATAAATATTAAGGAAATATTTAAACACAGTACTTAAGTACCCCTGGGACTTTCTGACTTAGTACACATTACAAAGTTTGTATTAACTGTCAAAAGACTGGTATAAATAAAAACTGTGCTGATGGTTCTGCTTATAATATAGAAGTACGAGACAGGTGCTTTCTGTAAGTGGAATGGGTTGGTAATATAGTCTCAATTTCCCCTGAATCGTATTACTTTATAACTTGGTGTTTTTTGTTTGTTTTTTTTTAAAGTATACTTGTATCCTTTTCTGCTGAGGCAGCTTTGTGACACTGGCTCTGTTAGCAGTTTCTCCACTTGGTAAGACAACCAGATGTGACCCAGCATGCTTCAGATTATGTCCTTTCCCCACAGCAAAGAACAGGCAGCATCAGCTACAAAGACCATATCCACTGAGGAGGACATTGCAAGCACACTGTACCTGATTGCCGAGGAAGAACTACAGACAGTAAGAGTACAGGATGGAGGGGAAAAAAGAGAACATTTTGTCAAGTTAACACTAAGGAATGGCAATCATAGCATCATGTTACCAGTCTTCCAAATATACACTGATCATATTCTTATCAAGCACCTGCCATATGGATGTGATTTTACAAATTAAACACTGTATTGCTCATATTAACTCATTTCTCTTGTAGGTAATTTAAAAAACAAGAAAACAAAACCCAACAAGCACGTATAGGATTATCTGGAGCTCTAACTAAATGGCCAGGGTTAGAGTCAAGACAAAGTCATCCAAACACAAACGCTACTCAGTTAATAGCAGCACGGTAGGGATTTGGGGTACATTTTTGAGGTATTAATGGAATCCGGGTTTTTTTATGTTTCAGTCAAGCATGGCCATTTAAACCCTCTTTGGTAATCACAGGTTTTTTTTTAGGACTTCAGAGAATCCTGACAAGCTGCTGAATATACTTTAGGAGTACTGTTTTTGGATGCTTTCTACATTGCTGAGCTGGTCCCAAAATAAACAAAAACAAGTATAATTTATTGTCAGTTATAGCAACACGTAAGTCTTCTCTGTAGCCCAGCTCGTAATAAGCACAGCATTTGTTGGATCTCGAAGCAGTTTTCCTAGCCATCTCTGTGCATGGGAGCTATTCAGGCTCACGATGACCAACTCTCTGGAGCGAATCATCAATCATTTGGTATAGTTGGTTATCACCCTGAAGATTTCAGTTAGCAATGAGGTAAGGGCTCTGAAATGTCTCCTATCTAGAGATAAGGGCCAGACAGTGGTCAAATCTCTAGGCAAGGACACCAGGTGTGAGACAGTGGGATCATCTGGTCTGCTGTATGTCAGGTTACTTTAACCTATAAGGGCCACATGTCGTTTTTTCTCTTCCTTACCCGGTATTTATTCTCTCCGATCTGCTCCACCTGAAACCTTTTTGCACACTTGCATTGAGCTACTTGTCTTGTGACCTATGAGTTGTAAACAGAAACAAACAAACAAAAATAAAGGGCAAAGCAAGACTTCCTAATTCCTAGTTGGAGAAACAAATTTTTTTTTAAACATGTAAACAGAGAAGCTATTCATTATTTTTCAGCATTTTAGGCTTCTGACACATGCATTTATTGTCTACTCATAATTAACACACATTGCTCTTGAGATAAGAGCCACTGAGACAAAAGGCATATATGCAAGAAATCCAAGTAACTCTACAACATACAACACATTCTTTCATCCTGCTTCAAAACTTCTTTAGGAGAGTGCTAATATGCATACATCAAAATCAAATGACTAATAAAACAAATTATGAACTGACTTGAATTTCAACCTAGGAGCCTGAATTTCCCAAGTTATCTCTGGTGTATCCCAGAGCTACTCCCAAGACTGGCTCTTCTGTCTCTCCCTTTCCAAGACCTGTAATCGATGGATCCTGGGATCTCTATGTGCTACTTATAAATTTTCTGTTTCCAACAAGATTCAGTATTTAACTAGGCAAAAAGCTTGGTACATACACACCATCTTATTACAGCCCTTTCACTGTGTTTGAAGATCATGTTCCTGGATTCTGAGGTAGGATGCTCAGGACTAAGATGAGTCCTGAGCAACATGGTACCTGTGAACCAGGATGAACACAATTCCCTGGAAAGGTCCTCTGTGGACTTTGGAGTACCACAGACATGACCCCTGTAGTAATCCATCTAGACCAAGCTAGAGCTTAGTAGCCAGAGAGACACTCTGGGGCTCTCTGAAACACCATCCAAAAGTTGAACCTGAAACATAACTCCAAATAACCAGTTCTCCACAAGAGTCAAAGGGCTGATATGGTAAACAAATTCAGGGCGATACAAGCCCTTGGTCAAAAATATACTTAAAACATAATTATCCCCTATACCTCATCTTCAATTTTATCTGCATCAGTTGTTGGTCGATAAGCATCCTTGTTGGGATGGAGAGCAGCCACAAATTCATAGTAGTCAATGTAGCCATCCCCATCCCTGTCAAAAATGTCAGCCACAGCAGTCATCTCTAACTTGGTGGTAGGGAACTCTGGAGAAAAAAAAAAAAAATCACAATTTGAAACATTATAAGGGTTTACTTGGTTGACTGGTATATAAATACTTGAAAAAAAAACTGGCACAATTTTTTTCTGAAAAGCAATACATGTCTACTTTAGGAAACTCAGGAGATACAAATTATAAAAATCACTCAGAAATACAGCATCCAGGGACTACTCACTATTATGATTCTGGTATTTTTGCTTATAAACTCCCTTACCCCTTATGCAGTTAAAAAGAAAAAAATAGTATTTCAGATATACCAAAAGGCATAAGATATAAGGTTACAACCAGCTATAGGCCTACCACTCATCTTAAGAATTTACTTACCTACTCCACTATTGCTGGATGTTCAGATTAGTCACTATTTCAAGCCAGTGTCACTTTAGAATTAAAAAAAAAAAAAAAATTTTTTTTTTTTGGGCGGTACTGGGGTTTAACCTCAAGGCCTTGTGCTTGTTAAGCAGGCATTCTACCACTTGACCCATGCCTCCAGCCCCTTTTTTCCCTCTATTTTTAAGATTACTGTCTTAGATTCTTGACAAATTGCTTTCCACAAAGAAGTGTGAGTATCTGTAGGAGTCAGAGTGAGTTATTGAAACAAAATCAGATCACATTGTTTCTCAGCTGAAAACCTCAGATGGCTCCCCACTGTCCCACTGACTTCAGAATGACATCTGAGCTCTTCACTATAACCTCTAAGGTTCTGTGTTAACTGGCTGCTGCTTACCTTTCCAGCTTCACCACTTTTGACTCTCCTCTTAGGTCACGACACTCCAGTCACATCAACCTTTCCATTCCTAGAATATGCCAAGTTCATTCCTACCTCAGTGTTCTGTACCTTCTATTCCCCTTGCCTCCAGCACTTCTCAAAAATCTTCATGTGTCTGAATGAAACCTTCTCAGCATTTAGGTTCAGTTCAAATATTACCTCCACAGATAGGTCTTCCCTGACTACCCCATATGAAATCGCATAGCATGAGAAGTGCTTTGTGATCCCAATCTTGGCAAATTATTTAACTACTTTATGCCTCAATTATGTCTCCTGTGTCTTTGGCTAAAACGTTGTAAGCTGTTATAGAGATGTCACAAACTGCTTTTATGAAAAACTTCCTTTTATTTCTTTAAGATAGGGTCTCACTATGTGGTCCAAACTAGCCTTGAACTTGTGATACTCCTTCCTTGGCTTCCCGAGGGCTATGAAAAATGTATTTTTCAAAGCATGTTACTTAGAACCTTATTATTCAAAGTTAGCTTTATACCTACACCTTAAACGTGTCTTGCTTGCCCTGAGGTATCAAATAAGTGTTTTTTATTACTAGTGGAAATGAGATTCTTTTCTCCATCAAAATGATGTATGTTTAGTAGGCAGTTATCTTCCCTAAGACTTCTATTTCAGAAAGACTACTTGGCCATAAGATCACAACTTCTACAAAGTAACTGCAAGGAATTAAGGTATGACCTATGTTTGGAATTATGAATGGACTCACTGGAGGCTAAAATTCCATCGATAAACTCCTGACGTGTTATCTTCCCATCTTGGTCCTTGTCAATGCGGCGGAAGAAATCCATGACTCGAGACTTTTTGTGATTCATCCAACGCATATACTTTTTCCTCCAGACATCAAAGTCAAAGTTGGCAAATTCCTTCAACTAGATAGAAGTCAGAGTTGTCAATAAGAACTATTATTTTGAGCCCTCAAAGCTGCCCTGAGCATACACAAACTCTCAGACATTCAGCAAAGCCATGCAGGCCTTCCAGGGGCACCGACAGTGCTATTTACACATTGCCTCACTTGTGAAGGCACCCTGTCTCCTTCACTTGAAGCCATAATCATTTACATAAGCTGTGGTGGAATGCAATAGCAGGAGAAACAGTAAATGAAAAAATACTGCAGAAAATACAGAGCACAAAGAATGGGTGGAGCCAGGCTTGCTTTTCCTTTGGACTTTTCCATCTTTTCTAAGATGTAAGGGAATGGAATCTATCCCAGAAGGAAAGTCTCAGCACCCCTCTCATGTTGTTTTAAAAGGCACTATAATCACACATAGAGTCCACATCAGGACGCTCGTTTTCCACCATTTTCGGAGACTTCTGTGAGGAAATGAGTTCTGTATGGGAAGCATTGAGAATGCAACCCTGTACTCAAGCACGTTTCTTTGGAATGGCACCAGAGGGAGCAAGCTGCCCTCCTGACATTTATGTTAAATTTTGGCCTTGATGGAAAATAGCAGGCCTGTTACAGTGGGCAGGATGATTTTCAGCTACTTGGACTATGTTAGTGATTCACAAGCAGAATGATTTAACAGTATAGCAGTTTTCCCCCTGGTCTTTCAAACTCCAAAGTTGGAAGGAATGGGGGAAAGAAAGCGCCAAGAACCAAATATGCTTAAAATTCAACTGACCTATGGAAATAACAACAAAAAACACAGAACACTCACTTCCAGGCATAGCTGCTTTGAGGTGCACAAATAAAAGAATATAAAAGATATTAGAGGCTTGTTTTAGAAACTATGAAGCATGGTACCATATTTTTTATATTGGGTAATAACACTTCAATAGACTTGCTTTTTATGATCTAGTGCAGACTAACAAAATAATAAGACAATAAAAATTCATTCTTATTTCATGATTGTGTAGCATGTATCTTATCTTTACATGAGGGGTTCAATAATGGTCCTTTCTTTTTTTTTGGTGGTAATCAGCCTCACGCTTGCTAGGCAGATGTACTACTTGAGCCACTCACCCAGCAGTAATTGTCATTTCTGTGATAAGCTATGTATCTGGATATAACTTCTCAAAGTTATATTCCTGATTCTCAACCACAGCAAAGTTCTGAAGAGAATCAGGTCCCAGGCCTGACTTTTGTATGAACAGGCTTGTTTTTTGCTTTCCACTACCAGATGCTATGGCCTCCTCTGCTGTGAGTGGTTTTCTTATGAATGTGTCTTTCTTATTTGGGGGCTTGAAATAAAGAGTACTGGCTCAGTACAGGTCTGCTTCTACTTCTGAAGAAGTAGGTGAAGACATATAGGTCATACTAAGAGGGCCTCAGAAGAGCTGTGCGTGTTTTTTAAATTTGCGGTACAGGGGTTTGAACTCAGGGCCTACAACTTGAGCCACTCCGCCAGTCTTTTTTGTGATGGGTTTTTTTTGAGACAGCGTCTTGTAAACTATTTGCCTGAGCTGGCTTTGAACTGTGACCCTCCTGATCTCTAGCTAGGATTATAGGCGTGAGCCACTGGAGCCTGGCAACAGCTGCGCTTTGATTTAAAAAACAAAACAAAACAAAACCAATCAAACAAAAAAAACACTTGAAGGCCACTCAGAAGGGCATTACCTCCTCTAGTCTATCCAAAGCATCATTCAGCTTCCGCTGGCGCTCCAGTGCTAACAGCCATACTTGTTGCCAGCGGGCAGAGAGCTGATTGATTCGTGGGTTTTTTGCTTCAGATTGTGAGAGGATTGGCATGGGAGGAGGTGTGGGATGACTCAAAGATTTTCCTAAAATGAAAAATAATCACAAGATTAGAAAAGCTGGTTTTTGTCAGTCTACAGAGAAATAGCTATATGTATAAACTTGAGATTTTTTTTTTTTTTTTTTGCAGTACTGAAGTTTGAACTCAGGACCTCACCCTTGGTAGACAGGTACTCTACCACTTGAGTCACTCCACTAGCTCTTTTTGTCTGTGTGTTTGTTGGGTATTTTCTGAGATAGGGTCTCACTTTCATTTTGTGTGCGCTGGCCCCAAACCATAATCCTCTTGATCTCTGCCTCCTGAGTATCAAGGATTACCAGCATGAGCCACTACTGCCCGGCCTTAAGAGATCTTTATAATGATATTCAGTCAGTAATTGAGAAAAGAAACATGGTACTTGGCAACACCTAGATACATTGGTGTACTAGCTGCAGAGCTATTGATCTCTCTTCTAGTCCACAGATACTTACCTATTTCCTACATATCTCTAACCAATTCTGTCCTACCTTAGTGAACTGAGAACATGGTCAACTCAACAAAAAGCAGTAGATTCTAGAGCAGCTGATTTATGTTATAATTAAATTATAACAAATTATAGCAAATCAAAGGTAAATAGCTAGTACCAATGACCAAACAATGGAAAGGCCACTGTTTCAGAACAGACTTTGGGCTGACAGAGTGGCTCAAGTGGTAGAATGCCTGCCTAGTAAGTATGAAGCCCTGAGTTCAAATCCCACTACCAACAATAAAAAATTAAAGAAACCCCAAACAAAAAAATACCCCCCAGACTTCAATACCTTGCAATTTAATACTAATCAAGAAAATAAAAGTATAGCTAGTCTATCAGTGTTAGAAAGATTTCAAAACAGATTTTGGCTCAAATCCAGTAAGGTTTTGAAAATCAAAATAATTCTTTTGATAGGCACTTGGAAAGTTCTCATCTTCAATTAGCAGGAAGGAAGGATCCTAGTGAAGTGGTCAGAAACATACTGCTACCACTGCGGGATTTCTCAATGAAAGGAGCATGGGTAGGCTCTATATTCTTCCTTTTGTATGTCTTGGTGACGCGGTCCACATCAGGTTGCTTGCGTGTCATCTCCTCCATAAATGTCTGTTAAATATAAAAATAAAGAAATAATTTGAGTTTTCTTGTTCTAAAATGGAAACAAATGCCAAGCCTGTGACAGATGCCCTTGCATACACTCTCACTCCTTTTAAGAAATGTGATTAAGCTAGGTACCTTATCAAGAGATGGAGACCTGAAGGAGGAAGAAATAGCCTCTGACTTCAAGGAGCTCACAGCTGAGTGATGAAAATCAAGAACTCAGAGCACTAAGTTGAGCACCAGTGATTGAGGCCTATAATCCTAGCTATTTGGGAAGCTGAGATTGGGAGGATTGTGGTTTGAAGCCATCCCGGGCAAATAGTTCCTGAGACTCCATCTCCAAAATAACTGGAGCACAACAGACTGAAGATGTGACGAAAGTGGTAGTGTCAGCTTTGCAAATGTGAAGCCCTGAGTTCAAATCCCATTCTAGAGCACTAAATGCCACATAGGCACCCAGACCGAGCATGAGTATCTCACAGACTGGTGTGGCAAAGAAAGCTGCCTGGAGGCTGGTGCCTAAGCTGAGTTATAAGGGATGAAGAATTTGTCAAAGAACAGGGAGGACAGTCCCA